CAAGTAGGACACAACACACAGCCCACTAAACAACACAAATACACAGAGTCAAAAAAAAAAAACTTGTCTCTGTTGTCATGTGCGTTCTTTTTCTTTTATTTTTTTGTTGAGAGAGCTCGAGGTGAGTGATTTTTGTTTTTGGAAGAGAAGAAAGAGAGAAGTAAAGTGTAGGTCTGAGAAGGAGAGCAAAGTGAGGAGGAAACGGGTGAGAAGGAGGAACGAGTACCTTTCAGGAGTTGATCGATAACTGAGTTTAGATTGATATCTTGACCGACTGGATCAGCCATCAGTGTATTAAGATAAGGGCTTGTTGGTGTTTGTTTGGTTGTGAGTTTGTGGAGTTGAGTTGATAGGTAGGTAGAGAGAGAGGGGGGGGGAGGGAGGTAGTCAGTGGGTTGTGTTGACTGTTTCTTTTGATTGGGGGGAGGAGTGAGTGAGGGTGTTGTTGTTGGTTAGTTCGTTCAGAGCGAGATAGAGAGAGAGAGAGAGGGTAAGCACAGAACTGAACAATAAAAACTGTTGCATGAACTATGTAACCCTAAACCATTTGCACGTCACCTGGTCCCGTACTGGTCCCGGCGCCAAAGTTGCAAATCAGAGTCACAGGCACCCGAGTCAACATAGCAATGTCGCCCTAAGGGCCAACAACCGCGCGCCCATAGGACGGATCAGCCACCAGGGTGCCCCGGTTTGGCCCTCGGGACCATCTGAAACCGTGAGTCGCCCCTGAAGATGGACTTGAGCCGTCCAGCTTCAGGGGCAAAACCGTGGTATTTAACTGGCACCCGGGGCGCCATTGTGTCAGCAAATTCAGGTTGCGCTTTCGTGGTGCTCCTGGATTTCTCGATTTGCCCCACTGTGTAGTGATGTAAGACCCATTTGGGTGGATCCTGCTCCTGGGATTTTGCTGCCTCAAGATGATAACCACTTTGGTGTGGTTATCCCTGGTGAGCAGAAACTTGTCATCATTATCAAACAATCAACCATTTGACATACCAGGTCTTGTATGTAGTTTGACCACTGAAATGAACCTTCAGGTGATCTGAGAAGCTTGGACCTGATGACATCCACCAGTGTAAAGGGGCCAGCCTCTCCAAATGCCCCAATATTCCCAGCAGAGTTTCAGATACAAGTTGTTCAGCTCCGAAAAGCCGGTTATGAAGGCTTTGGGGGTCATCACCACATTCTGAATGTAGATGAACTTTTCAACCAGTGGGGCAGATTTGTCCATTGTGATGGTTTGATAGAAATACAATAAAGATAAGAGCATCCACATTGGTTGAGTGAATTAGTGAGGCAAGAATTAGTAAGGTATGAATTGATATAACCTGCTAGCTCCAGATTTGGCTCTGCAGCTAGTTCAATCCAATCTCCAATCCCAACCTGTCCGTTTTGGAGGATTAGATTAGGCAGCTAATCCTGTCTAATCTGTGCACTAATGTGGATGCTCTAAGTGTCTAATTTTTGGCTCAAATTCAAAGGGCAAAAGCCAGGGAGTCCAAAAATCCAAAAGGCATGGCAATGTAAAAAGAGGAAGTGGGAGTAAAAACCAGAGCAGTCCAGAAAAAGCTGTTTCAAGGATTTTGGAAGATTTCCCATTTGCTAGTGGGAAGAATCTGCACCCAAGGCCTTCCCTTTGGTCAGCATAGGTGACTCCAAGGCCTTGCAGGAGAGATGGGAAAAGAGGCTTGTGGGTTAAGTTTGGCGGCACAGCCGCATTGATCTCTAGTGTAACAAATGAGATTCTCAACAACAAAGGCCCCATTTAGATGGCACTGTTGATTATATGTTATAGATTATGAAGTTTAGTGTGGGATTGTGTTATATTGATATATGTCAATATATACATCATGTGATTTGGTGCTGAACTTCAACACTTATAACCTATAACAATTTGTCAAAACAAGTCCTCCTATAGTAACAATTAGTATCTTTAACTAATTGTCCTATACTTGTTATACAAATCTTTATTACAACTTTATTGATTTTTAATTTCTTTTGGTTGGTTTATTCCTAGTTGTCTTTTTAATCTCTAACATATATATTCTTTTAATTGCTTGTTGTTTCCCCTTTCTTTTCTGTTTTCTCTATTGTGATTACAGTCGACTCTGAGATAACCCATAGCTGAGAAAACCCATACTTCTATTAACCCATAGGAAAATCTGTCTCCCAAGTTGGTGGACAGGGAAAAATGGGTCTTAACCCATAACTCTGCATTCTGCAGTAACCCATACCCTTTTTGAGAAAAAAACCGGAAAATTATGGGTTTTTTTCACCTTCCAGTCAAGCATAAAAGACTTTTTCAAACACAGATCCTCTTCTGAAGACCGAGACCACTTGTGATTTTTTCTTTTCTACCTCAGAGTCTGTTCCTGTCTCAGAATAATCACATAAATACATAAATTGTAGATAGATCAAGCAAAGAAGCTGATGCATACGGGCTACATGAGTACAGCCATACCAAAGTAAAAGAAATCATAAGAACAATATCTGTGTTAACCCATGATAATCATGGGTTGATACAGCTTTATGCCTTAACCCATGAATCATGGGCTAAGACAGATCTCACCCCTAAGCCATGATTCTATTACCCCATACCAAAACCTTTCTCCCAAGGGGTATGGGTTATCTCAGAGTTGACTGTATTATTATCCTTGGGAGTTGTCAATCAAAACTTGATCAAACTTCAAAACCTCCATTTCCTGTTTTTACCTTTCAAGACAAACTACCCATATCCTCTCTTATCATAGACAGCAACCCCTCTTAGAGTTCACTTATAGCCATTCACGTAAGGAGAGTAATAGGCGGGCTCTCACCATAAATCCATATAAGTCCTTACATGTTACAGTTTTGGTTTTTTAGAAATGGAACATGTGGTAAAAATTGCAATTTTCGCCTTGGTGTTTTTGGTGATGAAACATGTGGGAAATCAGGGATTCACTCGTTGTGCCTGACCGTATTATTCGCTGAAACTATCAAGCACACTCCACGCGCACTCATAGTTTAACAACCTTCCAAGGGAGCTTTCATACGCCAAGATTTCAGTTTCCCTCATCCTGTACACGCTCCATTTGACCACAATGCGCTCTTCCCGAGTCGATTGTTGGCTACTTTCTGGATTTTTACTTATCTCGATGAATGTGGTTCAATCTGTTCGAGTCGATGCAAATCATGAACCGGGCTGTAATGCCCCCGATGATATAAAATCTGCATTGAACATACCTCCCAGGTCGCAATGCATTTCTTCGTCTACTGGTGTAGAGGCCTCGGGATCCACACCTTTTAACAAAATAGAGTTTCCCAACGATTTGGACTTTCATCCAAATGTAAAAAATCCCAGGACTAGAAGCCGCCCCAGATTTTCCGATCCAAATCATTTTGCAGTCGCAGCAAGTCAAATCGTTGAACCCGCCAATCTGACTCCACCGTTGACCTCTTTCCGCAATTCCAACCCCACAGTTCATGGCCGTGTGATGTCTCCCATAACCCCGAACTTTCCAATAGTTTTTATCCCAAGAACATACGGCCGAGAGACCGCAGATATGGCCCCGCACTTGCAATTGCTGAGAGCATTCGGCCCTAACGCCAGTTTTAACTACCCAGTGCGATTTTATCAAAGAACGCATGTGAATCAAGGAACACATAGGTATATGCAACCAGATTTAACACAATTTTGTGGAAACAAGATGGACCAAAAACAATCCAGACACAGAGGGCAGGTAATAGATTACTTTCCAGATATCAATATTCATGGAACAAATCCTGTATACCCAGCTCCCAAGGAAGTACTGCTTCAGGATGATAACTGGATTGGCCATAGGGCATTTGGTGCTGATAACATCATGACAGTGGGCCCTGTGTTCTACAAAAGTAGCACTCTTAATCCCAAATCTGAGCCATTCGTACCAGTAGCACCTAGGTGAGATAAAAAATGAACAGATCTCATTCTGAGAACCCACCTAACTGGTTAGATTTCTTGACCTGACTGTTTTGCCTGATTGTTTTCAAAAGGAAGAATGCTGAATATGATCCATTGGCTGCAAATGAAGAGAACCTCTTTGGTGCAAAGAGGGTAATTGAGCAGTTTTACAACAGGCTACTATATGAAGATGAAGAATCACTCAAAAGATATGTTGAAGGAATCAAATTAAAAAGAAAAAAACCTCCGGTTGAAGAGCCAGAGAATGAAGAAATGATTTTAGATAAGGAAAAACAATCAGTTTCAAATAAAGGAAATGCAAAAGCAACAGAACAGAACATCCCACATTCTTCAGAAATATTTGGGGATAAAGGAGCTAAAAATTACAATCTGGTGCCTGGAGGGTCTCTAGGAGCCTTGGTTAAAGAAAAAAAATTGAAAGATCAAACATCTTTTTCTCCAAACTATGAGGTGGTCTCACAGGGATCAAAAGGGAGAAGTTTGATTGAACTGAACAATAATGAAAATTGGGGTGGAAATAACTCAATTGAAAACCAATTTAGTAGGATAGAAAAAACAAAGATCATCTCACAGTCCTCACAGAAAATCAGAAATACAAAATTCAAAAACAGAGATTTGGTTAGTGAATCATCTTCACATAGCAAAAAGGTTTTTTCAGGCCCTGCAGCAGAAAATTCATCAGTAGATTTAAATCCTTCAGGAAAGGTATTCAAAAATTCAATGGGAGAAGCTTCAAAGGTAACAGTTTTATCCTATCCCAGACTGGCTTGCAAGTTATTGTTTTTCAAGTACTGAATTCTGATGGTTTTCTATTGAAACCTATCCAGGATAAAAAGGACCTTAACCCTGAGATAGAAAAAGCCACTATCTTCAAAAATGATGACAAGTCCATTAAAGGGAAACAAAGGATGGAATTGGGGGAGAAAGAAAATGGGGTTGGAAGCAAACCATTTGAAAATCAACCAGTTAGAGAAGAAATAGAAAAAATTATTTCACATTCCTCACATATATGTGAAAATATCAAATCAGACAAATCCAAGTTGGCAACTGATAGATCTCATTTGGAAACCTTATCCAAGGTGAGCATGGGAGAAACTTCAAAGGCTATAATAGTCTTGTGTGGAATCATAATCCCAAGTTTCTTTTAGTAATTAACAATCAATTCACTTCTGTTTCAGACCCTTCTTATCCACAATCAAAGCAATATGATACCTCAAAGTGATCAAACTTCTAGTTTTGGAACAAATTTAGGATTGGATCAAAGCAGCTGTGGCACTGAAACATCACCAAAAAATAATAAAAATATTGGATTTCCTGCCATTAAAAAATCCTTGGTTGATGCAAATTCTTTGAACAAAGTATCCAAAAGCACCATGATAGAAGACTCAAGGGTGAGAGCATTCTCCTGCATCTAAACTCAATTTCACAATCTCTTTTTTGATAGAAATGAATTCTCTATAAATTGTATTCTAGAACCATCCATTTAAGGTTCAAGAGAGAACATTTCTTGAGAATACCCAAACTTCCACTTTACAAAAGGATGACATGGCTTTGATATTGAAAGACTCAAAGGGGAAAGAGATAATGGAGCTGGCCAATGTTGAAGATTTTAGTGGAGAAAACTCGATTAAGGCAGAAAAATATCATTCCCCTCAGTTATTTGAAAATGAAAAATCAAACACAGGTCAGTTGATTACGGTTATCTTTCCTCCAGGTAATGAAAAAAAACTTGAAGTGTCTGGTAGTAAAAAAGAATTTTTCGAAAAAAAACATTTGGAGAAAATATCAAGCGCTAACACAAAAGTAAGAATGAGTTTCTATATATTGAGGGATTTGAAATTCTTTTTTTGACATTTTTACTGAAGCACATTTCTTCCAACCATGCAATAAACTCTAATAAAAAGGGTATGAAGTATGATGAGAGTTTTCCAAAATTTAGCAAAGCTTTCAAATCTCCAATAGAATCAAAAGGGAAAGTAAAAATGAAAACAGGTGAAATGGAGAATGACAATGGAGAAAATTCAATTGTTGTAAATCAGAAGAAAAAACAAGTTGACTACACAAAATTGTCTCAAAATCTCAAGGGTAAGGAAGTAAGGGGAAATCTGGAAGAAAATAAATCTCCTTGCTTTGATGAAAAGCAAACTAAAATTCATTCAGTAAAACACCCTTCAGATCTTGATATTATTCAAATGGATAAAGACTGGAAGGATATTCCACAAGATGATCTTTTGGTTAGAAATAGGAAGAAGAAATTTTCCAAGGGAATGAAAAACAAATATGAGTTTAAGGAAGGTGATACAATTAAAGGAAAGAAGAATCATCCTCCCTCAAAACCCTCTAAGATTCAAACAGACTCCAAAAATGATTCAAAAATAAACACTCAGGTTCTAAATCTTGAATCACACCCTGAGCTTACAACTGCTTTTGTTAACATAAACACAGGAAAAGGGAGGAATGAAGTTCCCAAAAATGAACAAAATAGAACTGCTGTTTCTGATATTAATGTGAAAAATGAAATTCATAATATTGAAGAAGTTTTGGAAAAAAAAGTGGGAATGCATCATGAGGAAACATTTCCATCAAGTAGTGCTTCTGAAAAACAGACACTGAGAAAACTTAGCCTTGATAATCCAAGCAATTATTTTTCTGAAACAGAAATAAAAGTTACCAAACCCAACCACTGTGAAACAAAAAATATTATGACAAACTACAAAATAAATGAAAACACTGATATGATAAATAATGAACCAATTATTTTGTATTACACAAACAATGAAAAGCTGCTAATTCTTGAAAGTGTTATTGATGGAATGGAACATATTAATAAAGATTCTACATCTCAATTTTTTGAAAGTGAATCAATCTCAACAAGTTACCTCAAAAAGATTGAAACAATGACACTCACTGAAGTTTTTTCTTTGGCCAACTCAAAGTCAAAGTCAAAATCCCCTGCAGTGAAGTTGATAAATCCAAAACCAGATAAAAACTTTTCAACTGTGTTTTCAACTGAGGACGTTGATTCAGTTTCTCAACCAATAGGAAAGAAGATAGTTTCAGATTGGGAAAGAGCAAAACTACTGAAATGGCCAATGCTCATTTTTTGTTATCATTTGAAATTGAATGATAGGAATCTCCATACCCCACTGGAATTCAATTTGAGAGAGGAATCATACAACCTACTCTTTCATGGGTGGAAGAGCTCTCAGAAAAAATTAGAGAAATTAGAAATTGAATGCAAAAACTTTTTGGATGATTTTGAATTTACCAGGCGGTTATTTGCATTTCGTCATCTACTCCATCGCCACACACTGGCTTTAAGCTGGGCCCGCTGGAAAGAAACCTGTGGTATCAGTTCTGAGGATTTGAAAATATTTGAGAATGTTGTGGGCCTCTCAGATGATTATCTGAAGATAAAAAAACTTCCCAAATTTTTAGGGGTCAGACTGAAATTATATTATTTTCATTGGGACAAAGTTCACCCAAACCTGAATGTCAAAGATATCTTGGAAACATCTCTTGGAAAGTCTGAGGCACTTCAAAGACAGGAATTGCATAGGTACCTGATTAATAGAGTATACTCCAATAAATGGTGGAATACAAATATTCTAGAAAAGGAAAGTGTGGAGTATGGGATAGACATATTGGTAGTATTAAAAATTGGAGATGCACTGCAATTGGGTTCAAAAGAATATAGTGAAGAGAGAGGCTCCTTGGGTAGACTATACAGACAGTTGATCAACATAATGACAGACATAACACGCCCACTAAAATGGATAGAATCACCAGAACGTGCCTGGTTCTATAGAAACCATGGGCATGAGTACCAGACAAGACTACTGGAGTTGCAAAGACTTGTTTCCATCAAGGCTGAAGAGAATAGGGCCTCTATAATCAGTACTATTCAGCCTGCTCTCAAAAGAAGCACTTTGATCCTTGAAAGCAAAACCTACAAGTTAGGTCATGAACTGATTTGGTGTGACTTGGGCCTTCAGCTAGAGCACTTGGTCAAGTTTTGGATAGCAAGAAACCATGGGGGTGATCCTGATAGAATGAATGAATTTTTGGCAATACTAAATGAATTGTCTAGCAAAGAAATAAATTCATTGAAAACTTGGCATTTGAGATACATATTATCACCAATTTCAGAAAAATCAATCCTTTTAAGGGGGATTCACCTCTGTGAAGATAAAATCAAGGCTTTTTTCTATAAATATATGTATTAGGGGGTATCAAATATAACCAAATCCACAATTATTTAATTGACTGGTTTGAAAAAATCCACCCTTTTTTAAACATGTTGGTTATCCATTTAACCCCTTTTGAGGCACAATTTATTCAAAAAAAAGTTTTTTGAAAAGTGACTGGTTTCTGATGGTGGATTTCCTATATTTGATACCCCCTATTGATAATTTGGTTGAACTGAAAGAATTATTATATTCATGATAGATCTATCTTCAAGTGTTTGATCATTCTCAGCTTTACAAAACATCTTCTCTTGAAATTCTTTTGTTTCCATTCTCACTTTCTAGAGATTAAGTTCATTCCCAGAAGTCTATTTGATTCTTTATCTTATGCATTTGATGAAAAACTTACCAAACTTAGAACCCAATATTTCACTGCCTTAACTACCTCCTTCTGCCCCTGATATTCTAGAGAAGCCACCCATTTTGGCTTGATAGTGAAATGAAGATTCTGAATCCAATCAAGCCAATTGGGTGGTACCAGGACAAATAAAGGCAAACAAGTTGCTGCTGGGACTGTCATTGCTAGTGGAGTAGGTTAAGATGACAAGATCACATAAATTGCTGCAGTCTGTGAAAAGTTCACAGGGTAATTGGTTCAAACAACAGAAATTGAACTTAGTAGGTTGAAATGAGCAGAGAGGGATAGTTGAACTTTCTGAGTTGAAATCATCATAGAGAAAATCCATTCCGGGTTAGCGGTGCTGAAAACAGCTGGGCAGGCCGCGGAGCTCTTGTTGTTTGAACAAATTGGGAACGACTGTTGGAGGACATCGGGTGTCCGGGCTTGCTGATGTCCTGAAAAGCTACATAGGGCTTTAACTCGGTCTCAGCTCGGGCTTAACTTACTTTTATTCAAAATGGGTTCCAATTATGCAATATACCATTATTACATGCCCATCATCATGTACCGTCCCACTAGGTGGGGTGCACAGCCAACACGAACATTGGAACATTTCTACCACTTTCGCTTTTGAATTCTTGACCGATGGCAGACAATTTACCCGACCTGCAAGGTGAGCGAGTGAGTTATGTTTGGTTGGTTGAGAAGCTGAGTCTGATGGCTCCTTTGGCTCCCTCTCACAGAACTCGCTGCAGCCCTTCCAGTTCCTCCTGCAATCGAAAAGAACATCCAAGAACTCGAGAAACTCTTGTCGGGATTTGTGGATGATGACGTCGATAATTTCGAACATTGGTACAAAATTAAGGATCTCGCTCATGAAGTAGCCAATCTACTGCGAGACCGTGAGTGATTTTCCTCTTGCTTCTGTTTCCTCGGTCCAAGCTGCTTGCAATCAAAAACTTACCACCACCCCCACTCACGTTGGTTCGAATGCCTAGTGAGATTCAGACAATCGGTCGGCTCAGAGACCAAAATATTTCCTTACATCATCAACACGATTAATAAAGTCATAGCAAAGAGGTCTACAGTGAAAGTGACCGAAATGCATTGTCCTATCATGGCAGTGACTCAATTACTCAGAATAATCGGGAATTTGGTCCATACGTCAGGTGATTACTCTTCACACTACGATCACTCTTTCAGACCACAGATAAGTGGAAGAGATTTTCAGCCTGACTTTGTTGAATATCATTCTTTGGCGTTAATTCCTGGCTTAAATAGACGACAACCGCCACAAATGTCTTGACGCTGGCGGGGCACCTGCAATAAAATCCATTATCGATATGTTTGTTGACATGGCCCTTGTTGACCAAACCTGCTATGAAGAAGAAATCAGGATTTCTCTGATAGTAGCCACTAACTTTAGTGTTGACTTCCGTAAGCTCCTTCTGACGACTGAATTTACCACGCCTGTTGTTCTAACTCACTTGATTCTATTGCGTAGAGCCTGCTCAGGATCTTCTATCCGAACTTGGTTTGACAGCATCCTTATCAAGGCTGATCGAGGTTCGTCTTTCTGAAGAAAAAAAAACTCGTCCCATATGGGTTGATCCTCCTCGAACGTTCGCACTTATACCAATGTGCCTGTTTTTCGATTCAAAAAATGATAATTATCTACATTTCGACTAAAAAAAAAGTATGCTTATGCCAAGCGACTGGTCTGGATGTCTTTTCCTCTAATCCTACTGGACGAAATGACTGGAATAGGTGTGATTTTCTCGTTCAGAAACTCATTTTTATTAACTCGATTACACTTTTTTTTTTTGCAAATGTTTCACAATTCTCTCATTTTATATCTTTTCGCGTACTGAATTCAATTCCTGGACTTTTTGAACTTCGAGCTTACAGAGACAGGGTGGAAACAGATTCCAGACAGTTTACTATGCACCTTGGCCCAAATGATAATTTACTATTCCGTCCAAGACGACGATGCGGATTACCCGAACCCCCCAAAGGAAGAGAATCTTAACGTTCAAATTGTCATGCTGTGCTCTACGATCTTACAGACGCTTGTCGAACACGCAGGGCCAGGGCGTTTTACCTCATGGATCTTTGTACCAGCCGATCCGGTGATGAACTCGTTTTCAGATGATGGACCACCCGCACCGATGTGGCTCAGGCTGGCGATGTTCTTGCGATCGGCGCACCATGGCATCGAAGCTGCTCCGGGAACTTATCAGGGACCGAAGAAATACAACTTATACAGTATGATCAAGGCTCTGATTATTCAAGCGTTGGTCCTAACGATGGCACATGTTCAAGTCACGCCAGAGTGCAGACTGATGATGTATGGAGTCCTAGCCCAGTGGGTTCAGGAGGACACGATCTTGAAGAAACGGCCGGATTTGGTCATAATGTCGGGTCTTTGGCTCAGCAATTTAGCTTGTGATGGTGAGTCTAAGATCTATATAGCCATTGGATCTTTTGCTTCATCTTGCTTGAGTAGCTGCTCCTTGAATCTAACCTCATACATCAATTCTAGAGGAGGCTTGTCGGGTTCTTGTAGAAGAGTTTAAGATCTTAGAATCTCTTGTCAACGTTTTCAAAATTTGGTCGCCGTCTCGACTGGGGATACCAGACGATTCCACATTATGCAAGGCTGAACCGGGACAGCAAGCCCAAATCTTACACGGCTGGTGTGGGCTAGCTAGGAATCTTGCAGTGCCAGGTAAGCCACCCCAAAGCGTGTTTGTCTTTTAATGTGACCATAGAGCTTATTTGTTTTTTTTTTCTGCCGGAAAATGATTTTCTCTCTCTTGGACAAAGCTGCCTATAAGGCCAAGCTCGGTGAACTCGGTATGATAGATTACGCTTTGGAATGCTTGAGGCCCGAGTTTGATATCGTCGAGCCGTTGAATGCCACAGCTGCAGCTTTGCTCCGGCATTTATGTAGAAATAATTGTAAGCCTCGTTACTGACCCCGTTTAGCTCTTGAGAGAAGTTTTTGTTAACAATAATCTATGTTGTGATCTAGCTGAGAACGTAGTACGAGTGCTTGAGTCGAAACGTGTTGATTACATAATTAATCTAGCCAAACGTGCTGAACAGCCGTATTTCATCCTGGAAACCTCGCGGCTGCTGTCTGCATTAATTAATACAGCAGCTCAAATGGATTTACAGTCCAATAATTCTGCATCAGGATGGGAGGTTCTTTACTCAGAAAAAACGGTCGAGGCCATCGTTCGCTTTGCCTACTTTACTGTAGCTTCTCAGCATTTCATTCTGATGAATGAAGCGCTCATGTCACTCGCGTTTTTGGCCGTGAGACCCAGTCTGGGTAAGTAGGCCACCTAAAATGATCAACGACTGCTAACTGACTAAATGTCAACTATCCTATCAACACAGTCCATTCCCTTTGCAGAAACTTGCTCAAACTTCAAGATGGAGGAGAGCCTGTAGCGCCAGTAGCTGATTCCGGTGATGATGAGCAAGTGGACAAAGAGGAAAAATGGAGAATGACTATACACGTTTTATTATGCCTTACAATTCCAAACGAACCCAATGCAACTCAGAATGGTCAAGAGCCAACAGATGGTCAGGCGAAGGAAGGTGACAAAGCTGCCAAATCGGAAGAAAGCCAGAATGAAGAGGAGCTACCGGAAGAAGTTAAGAAACTAATCAAACAGATTCCGATGCAAATGAAGCAAAACCTGTTTGTTGCTTTAGCTCAACTCGGAGATGTCGTGATGAAAACCCCTCGAGATTCTCAAGCAGAAGACCCAGAAAATGGTCGATCGGATGTCGAACGAATTCAAGATATCTTGCTCAAACATTATCAAACTCACCTTTCTAAAGAACCTCCCGCTTCTGAATCAATCGAACCGATGGAAGAAATCTCTAGCGATGCCGTGAAGAAAGATGGTCCCCCTCACCCGGTTTCTTTTTCGGATGTATTGAAAACTTGGAACGTCAAAATTGCTTAAACAAATTACCCCACTTTCCACTTCTGTTATTTTCTTCCCCTTCTGACTCACCGAAAAGAAGAACGTACGAACTCTGTATTTTCCTTATTGTAATTTTGGGTGATTTGGTTTTGAAAAAAAAAAACCCTTACTTTTTCGTCCTTCCTGCTGTAATTGAGTTGTTCAGCAGCTTGCATACACTGGGTGAGAGCAGTGCAGGCTAGCGTCATCAGACTGAACCATCGTCAAGATTGGCTGCTCGTTTTGCACATACTCAAAGAAGAAACACGCCGGATCCTTCACGCAAAAGTGAAAATGGTGAAAGTACTAAGCAAGAGAATCGCTGCCTTGGTAACAGATAATGTCATCATGATTTGGTGTGTGTGCCTTTGCATACTCAGAGACAGGCCTTGAAGGTCGATCATCGTGTCATTCAAGCAATTGACCGACCTTGAATGCAAAGAGTGGATAGCTATGTACGGCGAGTAAAATATGTGGGCTCACCCAGGATTTGCTGCAGAGCATCACCATTGCGTATGTTGAGCCATCTTGACCCACTATTCATTTGAATCCAATGGTTGTTGGATTCCAAACAAACACCAGTTCTGTCAGGAATCTGAATGGGCTGGTGGGGATTTCGGGGTTCTGACATGCATATGCAATGCAATGCTGGGCTGAGGGTCCAAGGGTAGTTTCTCTTGGCGCAAATAAATAGATACCTTCCAAGTTTCATGCGTCCAAGCCCTTTGAATCAGCAAACACAACATCGCATTTACCATGACTTCACAGAAGGTTGCCGGCAACGCTAAGATAGCTATTGCCAGCAGGGATCGATCCGTCCAGCTCTGCACTGGACTCTTCATCAACAACGAGTTTGTCGAAGGACATGGCGAGACTATCGTTTCTATCAATCCAGCCGATCAATCCACCCTAGCAGCTGTGCATTCGGTTCGTCCATTCTTCGCTTTCCGGCCACTTTGTATCCCATCAGAGATTAATTTCTGGAGCTGATGGATAAATTCAGGCCTCAGTGGAAGATATAGATCAAGCTGTCAAAGCCGCCAGACATGCGGCCAACACAACTTGGGGAACAAATACGCCAGCTACGGAGCGTGCGGCTCTGATGAACAAATTAGCAGATGTGCGCCCCAACTTCATAGATAATACGGAATCACCGGGTCTTGATATCCTTGGCTGATGCAGATAAAAAAAAATCTTGAACTTGGAATGTTCAGATCATGGAAGCTCGTCTAGAAGAACTCGCAATCTTGGAAACCCTGGATTCTGGGAAAGGCATCACCTGGGCCCGTGGGGACATCACCGAGAGCATTAGTGCTTTCAGGTATTATGCTGGTCTAGCGTTTTCTGGAACTGACGGACAGGTCTTGGAGGGCTCTGATGCCACGGGAATCGCGTTTACTCGTCAAGAGCCTTTGGGAGTGGTTGCTCAAATTGTTCCTTGGGTCAGTTCAATTACTTTCTTCTCGTATGAGCAACAGTTGGCGCGCTGGCGATCCAAGTCCGATGGCTGACATCGCATATCGCTGTGCCGTTCAATCCCCAGAATTATCCCATCATGGTCAGTAAGCAATAGGAGGAAGTAAAACCATCCCTGTTCAAGGTCGAAACTTACCCCGTTTTTGTGACTTTAGATGATGGCGTGGAAAGTTGCCCCAGCTCTCGCGGCAGGTTGCGCGATCGTATTCAAGCCGGCCGAACTGACGCCCCTCGCCACGCTTCTGTTTTGTGAAATGGTCCGTGACGCAGGTTATCCTGCCGGGGCTTTTAACTGCGTGAATTCGTATGGACCCGTCGGTGGCCATGCCCTCGCTTGCCACATGGATGTCGATAAGATTGCTTTCACCGGCAGCACCAATGTTGGCAAACAAATCGCTGTTCAAGGAGCTAGCAGTAACTTGAAGAAAGTCGGGTAGGTAGTTCTAGTAGGAATACATTTTATTGATTGTTGATTTTTGCTGATACTTGCTCGGGATTCGTAACTACCACGCATAGGCTAGAATTGGGTGGTAAAAGTCCGAATATCGGTAAGTCTCTAATTCACAATATCTAGCGTTATCCATCCAAACCGAATTATCTCCAAGAATCTAAAATAATGAGGTCCTTCACACTAGTCCTTCCATCTGCCAATATAGAGCAAACTGCAGCATGGTGCTGTTTAGGTATCTTTGAAAACATGGTCTGTCTTTTGAATTGGTTTACCTCCTTTCAAATATCTTGCTCCCAAGCTAATGCCTTCGAGATCGGAATCAGGGACAATCATGCACAGCCGCTTCAAGAATTTTGGTACACTCGTCAATCTACGAGCAGTTCTTATCAGCATTCATCAAGAAAGCTTCCAGTCACAAGGTTGGAGATCCATTTGATCCAGAAACCTACTCCGGGCCTCAAATCTCGAAAGCTCATGTCGACCGAATCGACGGTTATGTCAAGAGCGGAGTCTCCGAAGGGGCCAAGATTGTCCTGGGAGGAAACAAGGTAGACAAAGTCAAGAAGTTCAACTCGGAAGGCCAATGGTTGGAGGGCGGAAACTTCTATGAACCAACGATTTTCGTTGACGCTCAACCATGGATGAAAATCGTGAAGGAAGAAATTGTGAGGATGCAACTCTACGTGATCCATCGCCGTAGTCGATCCATCTCCTGATCAGCCTGTTATCCCGAACTTTTTGTGAACAGTTTGGTCCCGTCGCCATTGTGATGAAATTCGAGACGGTCGAAGAGGCGATCAGAATGGCCAATGACACGGAATATGGTCTAGCCGCTGGTGTCCACACTGAGAAGCAAGATGAAGTGGTCAGGGTTGGAGCGAAATTGAAAGCAGGGACAGTCTGGTTGGTTTCAGGACGAAAAATTAGACATATTTATGACTGAAAAAAAAAAAATTGTTAACTGGATGATCGAACTTTCTCTCTTCCAACAGGATAAACTCGTACGCATTCTGTCCAGCTAACGTGCCTTTCGGTGGATACAAATCCAGTGGTTGGGGGCGTGAATTAGGCAAAAAGGGCCTCGAAGAATACACTATCACCAAGGTAAGCAAACGATCTTAAAGGATGGATTCCAACTTAGTTCTGTATACACATTTAAGCTGATGATTTCCAATGACGGCGTCTCTCATCAGAGTTATCAATGGAATTACGCCCAGAAGCTCAGTTGGCCATTCGATCTCGATGGGATCTCCAAGCTGTAGAAAAGCATTCGAGCTTTTCACGACTGGATGTTCCGACACTTTGCAACACGACAACACATTATATTCTTGCCTAAAATTTCCAACTCAAATCCCGAATACCAAAAACAAAAAACAAAAAACACGAACTGAGATGGACGGTGAACGTTGGCAGACTCGACAGGGGTGCTACATTTGACTCTTGTTCCTAATTTGTCCATAACAGCCCATCTTTTTTTTTCTTCTTCTTCTTGTTGCACTTCTCTCAGCCCTTGCTCTCACATGATATAGCACATGACGCATTTTTTTGCATACGATAAAGAGAGATTGAATGATCTGAATATGTATCCAATTCCAATATTGATTCCCCATCCATCCTCATAACCTCTTGTCATTGATGATCTTACCCTGTTTCCAGACATTTGTATCGCTCGAATTAAAAAGATGTCTCCGCCCGAAGTAAGCAATTTACCTATGACCTTGATATGTTAAATCACCCTTACCTGCGACTGTAACGAGGGCTACATGATAGTCTCCAACCTAAAAGAAGGTTGAATTTGATTTGCCTGACTCCTTCCGCGCTCCCGGTTTACGATGCCATCTAACATCACCGAAGTTTGTTTAACATTTAAGACTCTGAGACTCGTGGCAATAGCTCCCAATTCACACCGAGCTCATACCTCTTATCAGGGTAGTTCACATTTAGAAATTTAACATCAGTATAGAGCTCGATTGCACACTCATTCAGCGGTCTTGAGACACCTTGAATATGTCCGGTAAGGTTTGATACCTCTTGAACCATTGCTGGTCTGAACTTGCAAATTGTTCTCCCGATGGATTGGGGCAACAGCCATTACGTGTGGATTTCTGAATCAAGGTTACTTTGACGAACTGTTTTACAAAGGGCATGGGCATGAAGACCAAGGAGGGTGAAATTTGCGGATAAATTATGAATGTGTACCTCTGTAATTGCAACGCCTTCCTGAAGGATTCCGGGCCGCACTCAACAGGGTCAACGAGTTGTTCTATGTACAAGCGAACACTAGAAAAAAAGTGAGGAGACAGCTATCGGGAGAGGTGAAGAGTTTGTTCTCTCCTGGCGTCATCCAACTCGCTCGTGTGTTTGAGAACAAAAGCGGAACCGGTGGCGGGGATTTTTATAGGCAGGACTCTGATTGTGACTTAGGGTTCGGTATGCAAAATGATCGGGTGGATCGTATTGAATCGGGTAGGATCGGGTGCTCATCGAGAGGAACCCGGGATGTGGATGTCATGACCGGGTCTTACGTAATCACTGCACTCGACGATCGGTCGGCGGTTGAAGCCGAGCTGAGATCAGCCAAGAACGATCCCGAATTCAACCACCAGCCCCCCTCACAAGATAAGAGAACACGAAACCTAGCCGAACAGAACAGAACAAACCAAAGAAACAAAAACGAACATGTATCGGTTTCCAGCCAGACCTGCCTTAGCGAAATCTCTCAACCGGGTTAGTAAGTCCGAGCAGGAAACTGCTGTCGAACAACGAATGGACTGTTCTCAAAACACTCGGGACCTCGAGAGAGATGATGGACAAGTGAAATCTGACGAATCATGTTGGTCTAATAATAGGTAATTCTGGGATCTAAAGTCCAAACACGACAGCTATCTATCCATGAATACATGTCGATGGGTTTGTTGAACGAGTATGGGATTCCGACCCCGATTAGCAAAGCGGCCAAGACACCACAAGAGGCACACAAGATCGCCGAGAGCTTTGGTAAGTGAGAGACGAAGCCGAAGTTATCCTATAATCAGGGAAAACTGATTGTTTTTTCTTCTTCTTTTTATTTTGCATATCAGGTAAGCCTATGGTAATCAAGGCTCAAGTCCTAGCTGGTGGTCGAGGAAAGGGTCACTTTGAAGGCAAAGACGGTCTTAAAGGAGGGGTGCAGATGGTCGATACTCCGGAACAGGCATTGCAATATGCTAAACAGATGATCGGACATAAACTCATCACCAAGCAAACCGGAGCCGCTGGTCGAATCTGTAACGCCGTAAGTACTCTTCAAGAGGATTCCAATCTTTCAATGGATTTGAGGAGGCTAAGCTTACATGATTTCTGCTTTTTTTTTTATCAGGTGATGCTCGCTGAGAAACGCGAACCATCGCACGAGTACTACGTTGCCATCCTCAATGATCGATCACTTAACGGCCCGGCACTTGTAGCTTCGGCTCAAGGAGGAATGAACATCGAAGAAGTCGCTGCCAAAGACCCCTCTGCGATCCACACGTTTCCCATCGACTTTCAGAAAGGTCTATCCAAGCAAGAGGGTGTCGAGATTGCCAAGACGCTGGGTATCAAAGACCACTCGGCCGCTGCGGACATCTTCATCAACCTTTATCGACTATTCAAGGACAAGGATGCAACCCAGATCGAAATCAACCCCCTAGCCGAGACCAAGGATGGCGCTGTTTTGTGGTACGTGACTCGTCGGCTTTCATTTTTTTTCTGATGATCGCTCGTGTATTAACTAGTCTTGCGGCGTAGCATGGACGCAAAGTTAGGCTTTGACGAGAATGCTGAATTCCGACAAGAGAAGGTGTTTCAACTAAGAGATCGAAGCCAGGAAGATCCAACTGAAGTTGAAGCTGCCGAGTATGGATTGAATCTCATCAAACTTGATGGTAACATCGGATGTCTTGTCAATGGCGCTGGGCTGGCTATGGCGACTATGGATGTGCTGAAGTTGAACGGAGGTACGCTTGGGATCACATTTTCATGATCAGGGAATTCCACTAGGTTTGGCGGTGCTGAAGTCGTCCTTGATTAGGTAACCCTGCCAATTTCCTCGACGTCGGGGGAGGCGCTACCGCTGAAGCAGTCAAAAAAGCATTCGAACTCATCACTAGCGATAAGGGCGTAAAATCAATCTTCGTGAACGTGAGTTTTTCTGCAACATTATTGTTGTGATCAAATAATTTTGTCGGAAGATCTCTTGATTCTGATTTCTTTCTCTCAGATTTTCGGAGGAATGTACGTTTCTTGATCTGGCTCTGAACTGATAAGTATACGTCCTGACTTGATAATTGATGCTTGGTTCATGAAGTATGAGATGTGATGTCATTGCAGAGTACGTTTTCCGCACTTACCTATGATAAGATGATGCAAACCTCGAAACTTATATTATCCATATTAATCGTATTTTCTAGGGGTATCATCAAAGCTACCAACGAACTGTCACTCGACATTCCATTGATTGTCCGTTTGCAGGGGACTAAGGAGAAAGAAGCAAAAAAGTGAGTACTCAGCTGGTGGTTATCTTTCGTGTATCTTGAGTCCCGTACAAAACGAGTGGCGCTCACTGTCTAATCTCCTCTTTGGTTGCGTTTGCTAGGTTGATCAAGGAATCCAAGATGAAAATCTTGTAAGCTGGATTTCAAATTTTCTCGCTATGTTTTTTTTTTCTCTTTCTTGATATTGAATCTTTCCTTCCTTTTTTAGTGCATTTGACGGACTTGACGAGGCGGCTTCCAAGGCTGTTGAAGTAAGCCCCAACAATCAAATTTCTCAAGCCAGACATTTCTCTCTTTTTGATTGTGGTTGATGATCTGTTATTTGTTTTTAGGCGGCCGCTTGATCAATCTCCCAACTGGATAGCCTAGAGTAAACGTGCACCAACACACATGTTATAGAGCCTTTTTTGTTTCTTTGCGACGTGTTCTTATCAGATCTTCTTTTTTTTTGTTTTTTTGAAGGGGAACAAAAGTCGAGACGAAATGAAACGAGTCTCCCTTTTTAAGTGCAGAAGGATAGCGCACTGATTCAATCTTTTTTTTTTTGCGGGATGTATACTTCTTTTTCGATTTATCTGCCTTTGGATTCCTTTGATTGTAATACAAGCTACATCGGTGATTTTTGGAGAGTGATAATTTGGAACACGAGTTCACCAGCTAGAGTTTTTTTATATCAATCCCATCGCTTTTGGCCAACCTTTTGCTTCATTCTGTATAGATACTAATACATGCATGATAACTGGTGTTTTCTTTCCAGCTCATGAGCAGATTTACACACATAGTCAAGATGTATTGCTCTGATCAGCTTCACCCAATGTGTCTGAAAGAGCCCACAGCACGCTTAAGTCAAAATTATTTACTTTGTGTTAACTCAGCACAGTGTCTCCTGATGCAGAATTTGATGTTGCAAAGCAAGCCTCCAGCAAGACCTCCACGTGCGCCCTATGACCCAAGACTGCAGGTATGGCAAACCTCTGATAGTTCCTTGCCGCAATGTTTTTTTTTGTTTTGAATCCAGTTGCTCATGATGAAGTCTTGCTTGTGCCGGCTCTACTCACAAAATTTGGAGCTATCTCACTTAAATCTTTCACATATAAATACAGGCAAAAATCTTCACTTGATGATCAAACATTGGATTTTGCAAGAGTCTCTTTTCCAAAGCGGTCTGTAAAATTTATCATCGACTTCTTGACTCTTAACAAACTAATTTTTAGATTTTCTAACTGCTTGCCTCAGAATAAAGAGACAGGGTCCTACCACATTGTCAAAAGTATTTTGGAAGCCGTATGACCCTGTGAGGTGGCTACGGTACGGGTCAAGTTGCACTGAAAGGACCAAAACAAAAGAAGTCATTTGAAGACATCGATGGGGCAGCTAATGTAACTGTTTCCATCGAGGAAGGGCCGGTTGAGCCTGCCCGGCGGTGACGCGGTGTAACGTGCTGCAGCGGAAACCTCCTCGCGATGTGCCCTTGCCCGGGCCCTGGGTATTCTTCGTGGAGGGTTTATAGGAGGAAACAGTCAGGTGGTCCCGAGAGCGCTTCAAAGCATCCTCGGGACCCCTTGCTGACGGGATCGTCCAAGTGAGCGTTGCTTTCTCAAAGAAAGCGTCCTCCGGGCAGGGGCGGAGCCCATCGTGTGGTCGCCTTCCTCCTCCCTTTTGTGATCCCTTCCTCCTCCCTTTTATGGACAAGATTGAAGTGATCAGTGGGAGGGGTTGTGTTTTGTGCACATTAGGTGGACTTTCTTACTTGATCTTCTACCGTTTCTTACTGCCACGAAATTCACGAGGTCACCTGCCTGCATGTCTGTCCGCTCAGTTCTGTGCCTGGTTTGGCGATCCTATACCATCCATGAATGCTCCAAGAACTTGAATTCCTCTGGATTACTACTTTCCTTGCCGCCATACATCATATCTCCTGCCACGACCATTTGAACCCACTTCTTTCCTTTTTTTTTCCTTGAGCACAATTCAGCCTTTGAAAATGAAGGAGTTAATTTCTGGAGTACTGGCTGCCACTTTCCTTTGTTCGATCGTAGTGTCTATTCAATCATCCCATTTAGGACCAAAATTTCATCAATCAAGCAAGCAAATCCGACAGGCTCCTAAAGCAACAAAACACGACAAGAGATCTATAAACACCGGTTTATCTTCCACCAACCTGAATGTTAACGGTATTGCAGTTGGCTTCTTACCTGCTTTAAGTGAGCCAATCCAGCCCAATACCCCGTTGGATATAAATCGTCGCATAGGTGCACCCATGTCTGTAGTAAGCTTGAAACATATGTCTCGTTTCTAAAGTCTTGGTAACATGTCATATCGACTAACTTTCGAATCCTCAACCAAAAAACCGATCAGATGGGAAGCTATATTCAGCTTTATGCGAAAGATACCAATATTGCGGAAATTGACTGGGTTGGTTTGTTTCACCTTCGCTTTGAGGACTGCTGGTGTCTTGATGGATTATTGCTTTTTCCAATCACCATAACATTCCAAATAGCAATTACCACAATATCGCCAACTGATAGGTTGGCCTGTATGGGAAATAGCCATAATGCCGGTTGAAGGCTTAGAGAACGTGACGCCGGAGATAGTCAGTAGTACAATTCTCTTATGTTGTTGCACTTGGAAGTAGCTAATCTAAAGGGCTGATATTCCACCAGGCCGGAAACATCGCCAGGAAGATGCAGATGTTAAATGCCCAGGGTATCACGGTTTGGCTTCGGTTTGCACACGAAGTATGTCAGATTTCAATCTTGATGCAGTTTTCATTTCAGAAATTTCTGACCCGGGCCTCTACCTTATCAGATGAATGGAGACTGGTATGTTTGGGGACAGAAACCAGCCCGTAAGATCATTTCCTTCCTTGAGAAGAGATTAATTGCTAGTCAGATAGGCTTATCGGTATATTCTATCTTTTCCCATTTTTAGTGTTCCTTGAGAAATGGAAGCTCGTTACAGCTGCCGTCAGAAGTGTTGCACCAAAGACCCGTAAGTTGTGAACAACGGCCACCGTTAAAAGTCTGAATGTGCTAGGGTTGAAATCATTTCCTTCGGTTTCAGTTATGCTATGGGCTCCAAATTCAGGCTTTGGTAAAGACCAAGACGCCCTCTTGGGAGGTTATACTAAATACTGGCCAGGAGGGGAATGGGTCGACATGATTGGTGAGTTCTTCCGACCTTTTTGCTCGCTTTTAGTTCCTGAGAGTTTCTGATCGTATTTTTAAAATACAGGTTTATCATTTTATCATTATGGAGGTAGGTTGTGTTGTCTTTTGATCAAACGCATAAACCTTTCTGACACCTTCCAACTATCATCTATTCAGGGCATGAGCGCGCCAATGTTCTCCCCTCACCGACGGAAGCTCAGGACACAATTAAAGATTTCGTCAAGGTGAAACCTTACAAAGACAGATGTACCTACCTATTTTTTTTTCATGAACTAATCCAAAGCCGAATTCTTGCCAGTTGTTTGGTTCCAAAAACCATGATCGGCCTGTAGTTCTGGCCGAGACTGCGGCATCTTACACGCGCTCGCTCGACGGGAAACCAGCCCCTGGTACCGCAAATGAACGGGATATCAAACTATCTTGGATGAGCCAGCTCTTATCACGTTCGATGGCAGAGGCAGTGCCCGAGCTAAAGGCTATCGTTTGGGTGCGGAAACTTTTCATCAGTCATCATGATGCTTGGGAATGGCATTCTAGCAATTACTACAGAACAGGCATTAGACTGACTTATAACTTTGATTGTTTGTTGATTAAAAGTTCGAAGTAATGAAAAATGAAAACGCAGCGTAAGCCTTGGTTTCTGCCAGAGCACGTCAGGCCTGCTTCCTCCGTGAAGGGCGTACTGACCATCCTCACATTGCAGTGGAAACACCCCTGTCAAATCAGAAGACTTTCGAATAGTAACTGGTCAAATAAAACCGTTGACTGATGACGCTTACAAATTACTGAGCCATCGCTCTTCAAAGTCCTCCAAGGGTACGGACCAATACAATCCATCTCTTGACCTAAGATTACCATCATTAATTTGTTGAATACTTCCTTGTCGTGATTGCAGTCAGAAAACCCAAACGCTCAGGCCACTTGGGCAAAAAGCGCGTAGGGATGATGTAATACTTGGATGGATGTCTGTGGTTTCACCCTGTCTCATCTGGAACGGCGTCTGAACGATCAAATTCTGCATCCAACGGCATATCTATGTATTTAATATTACGAACCTTTCGTCTTCATAGTCAAGTCCCGTTATTTAAAATTGAACCACGCCGAGTTACTGCGATGGGTTGCAATCACCACTTATCACATATCCCTCACCTGCAGTCATTTTTCCTGTGCGAGGGAGGAACTTTTGTATAACTTTTAAGTCGAAATTTTGGCTGGGGCAGGAAACATAAATGGCTGGAGTAAAATTTCTTAATCTTCTCACTCTTTATCCCAGTGCTGCACAACCTTGCCTCAGAGCCAGATGAATGTTTCTTTGGTTAGCTTTCATTTGGCGGTGGTCTAATCCACCCATTTGCAACGGATTTATAACTTTGTGAAAATAATACAAAATCACTCCTCTTGAAAACCTAAAACAAAGATCCACCAAGTTTGGCCATGCATTCCACCAATCATTTTCTAGTCTGCCACCTTGCAGCAGATTCAACAAGCAAGATTTCATCTACATACATATCACAATCTCAGAAAACTTAACAAACCAGAGCTTTGGAAAAGTGAGTAAGTGAAATTTCAGGATGGCAACTCTTTGGAAACTCTCTCTGGGGAATTTTCAAGCCCAACTGCCATGATTCTTGATTCCCTATTTTGTTAAAATGTATTTTTCTTCAGTCATTCTTATTCTTTCCTTATCAAATTTTTCACCAATTTTGCTTATCTATATACATAGCCAAAAACTTCCTCTATTCATTGTTCCTCCAAAATTGAGTATCTTTCTTGAAAAAAATGTGCATTTAGGCCCAAAAATCCTTCCTGTCCTAGCCAAAATTTTGACTTAATTCATATACATCTCTCCTACAGAGATTGTACTGCAGGGAAACCCCAGGAGAGGCTTTGTTAAACTAGTTGCAATCACATGAATTGATAATAAAATCAAGAGTTAAATAATTTAGGGTCTTAGTTAAACGACTCCCAAATATTGGAGTTCCGACTCCCAAATATTTGGGACGTCACTAAGACCCCCTGCAGACGGTCCGCAGGCCGTCCACCCCCGGAGATAGGAGTCGGACCTCCCAAACCTTCAACAGGTTTGGGAGTCGATCATCCCAAAAAAAAATAAAAAAATAAAAAAAATAAAAATAAAAAAACCCGGGGGTTTTTGGGAGTCGATCTTCAAAAACCCCCAGGGAGGTGGCGAGTCGGCGCCGGACTCTCAGCGGCGGAGAGGAATCCCTCTCGGTTGATGAGAGTGTACCCTCTCACCGGCCGAGAGGAATCCCTCTCGGTTGATGAGAGTGTACCCTCTCACCCCCGGCCGGGAGGGGGATGAAAGTGTACTCTTCACCGGCCGAGA